TAATCGTTCAGTTGGTATGTGATAGCCGTTCAAAGCAGAAAACCTCGTGAATTTTTACGAAAGTGGAAGAAAGTGAATTTCGCCATTTCTTTACGTTTGGAAACAGAAAATAGGGGGTTTAATCTGGAGAACATGCTGGATGGGGTAGCAGTTCGTATCTCAATTTGTGGATTTGGAATCGTAATGCTTAATCAGCACACGAAATTCATTTTTTATCGAAGACTTTTTCAAATTTTAACGTCTTCAATAAAATAAATTAAAAATAAATACAACTAATAAGTAAAAACCTCCCATTAGAATGTTTCAAAATTTCAATATTCTTTTGATAAAAAAAACTCAATGTAAACATTATGGTAACACTGTACTAGCTCTAATTCACTTATTTAGTCCAGCTTAAAATCCGCTTAAAATATATACTGAACGCGGTAGACCAAAAAATACGACTGTACTTAAGTCAGAAACCCATTAGATTCTTTTTGTAACTTCAAATTACAATATGTATGCATTTATTTTTATGTTTTCATTAATGTTTGCTGCAGACATTTTAACATGAAACTTCATTCGACCAAAAATTCAGTTTAAATAAATGAAAACAAGTATAATTTTAATGTCGATGCAAATGCAATAAAAATTCAACAATTTCCGCAAATGACGATGCTTGTTCCTCCTATCCACTGCATCATATACCATCATATACTCCAATATCGATGCACACATCTATACATGTCCAAATGCGTTCATCATGCCCTGCTTTCTACTCATCTCATATGTGTTTTTATGATTTTATGGATTTTAATATTTTTGTTATGTTTTCATTCGGTTAAATACTTTCATATGCAATCTCAGTGATTGTCATATTTATTATTATTTTTTTTTTTTTTGAGTTGAATGTTTATTTGCCAACTACTACGATTGCTCAGATTGTTCCGAATGTTCAGATTGTTCAGATTGTTCAGACTGTTGCTTGCATTTCCCTTTCATTTTCCCATTCAGCAGATTCAACACATTCTGTGCTTTATGCTTTTCACACTAAACGCAGATTTAAATAAGATTTATGGCTTTTAAATTTTCCAATTGAATTGCAATTGCACTTGAATGCAGCAAATTCAACAAATGCAACAAATGCAGCAAATGCAGTAAATGCAACAAATGTTGCATATTTCATTTAATTCAACTCCCTTTTTTATTTTGAATTTTAAGCAATTTTTGAGTTCAAGTTTGAGTCTGAAGCATTGCAAGTTTTATGTTTTTAATGTCACACATCACCCATCGTCGTCACAGCAGCTCCGACAACATCATTTGGAAATGAGATCTTTTCTCTGCCGGATGTAGACAGGAAGAATGACATCCATTGATACTGTGTTTCTGAGTCAAATTCCCCATTATCTCCCATCTCCCATTATCTATGCGGAGAAATACTACAATCATAATCACGACAATTTGTATAAAATCTTTTGTAAAAATTATTAATTTCAATTTTGTTTGTTATTTTGTATTTCAGTCGATTGTTGATGTTTGTATCTTTTATTTAATGAAGACACCAAATCATTTGTTAGTGAAATTCAAATATCATCTTTTCATCTTGGCTCATTATTTTTATTAATTTGCCCTACATTCAAGTCACGAAATGTGAGTACAACTAATTTGTGTATAAAATAATTTTATTTATTGACGAATAATACGAAATTCATTGTTAAATTTAATTCATGATTGCACGTTATGCATACATTCAGTGCACAACGCCAATAGAAATTTAGTTTACGACAACTTTAAGTGCTAACAATTGTAGGTAACCATGCTAGGAAGCTAAATGTCCTCTTCAACCATACCTGCCGTAATTGTGGAGGAGACGATAAAAGTGCCTTCCAACTACTTTCCAGATGGATTTCTTTTTCGAAGATCTTGGTGAACTTTAAGACCTCCCTTTAAATACATTTACAAGCTTTGCCAAAGGTTTTAAGTGCTTCTAAACCTTGAGTTTTTAATTATACTGTAACACAATGGGCCTATAGACCTAATTCGATCCCTTGGCATTGCCGGCCAGTGCTTTCTGCATTTGGAGGACCATATAATTTTTTTAATATTTTAGATTGAAAACCTAGATATAAAAATTATTAGCGCTTGTCTATACTTAATCTCATTGATATTGTATCCCTTGTGGTAAGTTACATACCTTCAAAATACCTATTCTCTTCGACAAAATTTTATATTTCAGAATCCGCATAATATTACTGAGTATGCAAATAATGGATAAAAATCTGTTAAAAAATGTACTGATCAATACAACTATAAACTCAATGGAAACAAAAAAAAAATTCTCACTGCACGTGGAAGACATATTTAATTTTTACAAAATTTAGGTGAGACCATTTGAAAAACCTAGATGAAGAGACTCATAAAGGATAGAGCCTTGAAATTATTTGCGAAATCTGACAGACTTACTAAAACCGCATTATCAAATCTCAGAATGGTTACAGGCTCCTCGGGGAGGTATGCAGATCTGAGCTCAATTATTACTTAGTCTGATGATGTGATAAATAATAATCCAGTCAAGGCGCAAAGAGGGGTTTTGAAGAAACCTCGCAGTTAATATAGAGTAAAAGTGCTCAGGTGCACTGACTCAACTTCCCTCAACATAATAATAATAATTAGCACTCATTGATACTCGATCTCACTAAAGTTATCTCTGTTAGAATAAGTGACATCGATACCTCTTTATGATAAGAAGAAAACGATTAACGTATACCAACGCTCTGTTGAAGGAGGAGTCTATTGACTACGACGGCACCTAATGGAATTTAGACAGTAGCTGATCATGCTAACATATTTACTATTTGCAGAATAGAGGGGTTTGTATATATAAAAATATTTTCGTATTATTTGAATAAATTTTATTTAATAAAACTTCAATTTTTTAATGAAATTTAAAATTTTATTGAATAAGATTTATTTTTAAATGTTAATTTTTTTTTACCGAAAGTGACGCGTCCTAACACGAAAAGAAACTATTTAAAAGTTAAAAGGGTTCGAATAGAAATGAAAAGACAACAACAAAACTAAAACTCGAATATTTCCTTACATCACTGATGATGCGTACTTGGAAATATTTGAAATAGCGTTGTATTATCACCCAAATTTCAATAAATTAACTAAAAATTTTTGTTGTTGTCTTTTCATTTTTATACGAACCCTTCTAAGAATTCTTTCTATTTATTTAAATTTCTTTTAAATTTCCCTTCTATTTATTTGAATTTTCTTAATGTACCTGCCTAATATTTTTAATTTCGTCTCTCAACATAACTTCAATAGTTAAATTTCTTCCGAGATATCACCTAACAGTAAGGTCCTTAAAATCCATAAAAATACATTTATTATAACAATAAAAATTTTTTTAAATGTCTTTTAAGATTTTATTAAAGTTATTTTATGCGTTGCTTTTTATCGAAACATTTTGGTAGTAATTTGAGGAATTAACAGTTCTTTGATATTCACACTACAAGATACAAATTTGGCATTTAAATAACTGTAACCATACTTTAGTTAGCATTGCAAATATTTATTTAGTTATTGCAATTGAAAACTATCTCAACAATGACAAAGTTTGCAACGCTTTGCCACAATCATTCAACAAAGTAACCAATATGAAATGCTAGAGAAATAAATTGCACAGATTCACAGATGCAATGGATGTAATTTCAAGTAAATCCAAATGAAGATAATCACTTTTTGCTATTCATTCCCGCTTTAATATATTATTTTATTGTGATTGGGAATAATTTTTCGGTGGCGTTCAGTTCAGTGCTTTGGCATATCTTCAAGTGCAGTTCATTTCGCGTTTTATAAATACGAAAGATACTTAATCTCTTTTCTTGGTCAACGCAGTTACATTCTCTTTCTTTCTGCGAATCCGTACAGATACATAGCTGACGTAGAATGGCATCTAGGCAACTAATTCCAGCGTCTACTGTTAGCGATCAACCGAAGCAGCTAAAGTTACTAGTAATTCAGTTTCAAATTGAATTCGTGACTGTAATCGACTTCAAAGTTCAATAAATAAATTTCATATTTGAATCTTGCGCTTTGATTGCATTTGTATCTGCAAATAGTATCTGCATTGTTTGAATGCAACTTGTATCTCATTTGTACGTAATGCATTTTACGCTCGCCTTCAATGAGTTCATTTCTAAGCCGCACAGATTTTGCTTATCCGAAATGAGTGTACTTTTATTTTAATGAAGTACACAGTTTGAGTATATTTTAGCTACTCATTTTATTTAAAATAATGTTGTGTTTTTATACAAAAATATTTTAAGACTAATTTCTACATCAAGGTTAAAATATTATGATTTTAATGGACTGTATTACATTTGTCAAAAAAGGTTAAAAAAGGTTAAAAAAGGACGGAAGTCCCAACACTTGGGATTTTCCTCCTATTGTTTTTATGAATATATTTTATTTTAATAATTTAAATACGGTTGCTAAAAAATGTTACTATTTATCTATATTTTTCCTTAGTACATTATTCTAAGAATTTAGGTGATAATATAAACTATAGTAATTAAATATATGGTATAAATTCATGTTCATGATTGAACATTCTGCCGGAGGTCAAAACTCATGTTCGTGATTGAACATTCTGCCGGGGGCCATAATAAAATTTTAATCATAATTATTTAATATGATTATATTGTAGTAGTTGTATCGCCTCCTTCATGTCTGACGCCGTCATAATATATATATAAGGTATTTTTCCTTCCATTTTTCCCAAAGCTTCCAATACTTATGCTTGAGAATTACTTCGAACTGCCACTGAACTGGAACTGCATACAATTCTGTAAAGATATTATTTAATGTTTGTGCCGTACAAAATCCTCCGTGGTGAGGAGTTCCGGGGCCAAAAAACAGATATAAAAAGTAATTTGTGTTGAACAAAATTTTTAGATTCATTATTTGTAAATTTGTTTTTGAAGTTATTAAATTATTATTTAATTCAAATTTGCCTTCATGGTTATTGGTATCCACTGATATACCTAGGAGTTCATTTTCTTCGGATTCCTTTTCGTTGTAATTTTTATTATTAATATTCTCATTGAATATTTCTTCAGGTGTTTCAGCTTCGATTTTAATGCTTTTACTGAGTGTGTCTTCAGGATCTTCAATTTTGAGTTGCGTTTTCAAACCATAGACTTGTTCTTCCAGCAATAGCTTATCACCTATCAGTTCATGCAAATTTTTGTTTTTGTCACGCAAGAACTCTACTTCTTTTTCAATATCAGGAAAGCTTGATAGGCGTGCCTGGTTATTCTTCGTTGTATCTTTCCAATCCTCATATGAAGCGATTTGACTTTCTAAATCTTTTATTTTTGAATTAGCAAAATCAAGTTCATTTAAATCTTTCTCATTTTGCAATTTCAAATTATCATATAAACTTGCTTTTTCTTTATATATTTCAAGTTCTTTTCTCATAGCAGACATTTCATTACTAAGTAATTGTAATTCCATTGAGAGCTTGTCTGTATAAAGTCGATATTCTTCTAATTCGTTAGTCATGTCATTTTTCATTTGACGTACTTCTGTTTCTATTTCATCTTTTGCATTTTTAAGCTTTTGTATTGTATCTTCTGAATTATGCTTAAGATCAATCAACTCACGTTGCATTCTTACCAATTTTTGTTGAGCCGCTTGTTCACGTTTACGTACCACCTGTTGATGTGTTTCTGCATCCTGTATCTTAACTGTGGAAAATTTGTGTTGTTTATCGATTTCCTTCTTCAGAGTAGCTATTACTTCTTCTTGGAGTTTACTTTTGAATTTGCCAAAATCAACTTCTTGTTCTAATTCTGACACCTTCAAATCTATAAGCTCTCCTTTAAGACGTCTAGTCTCCCAAGGACGTGCTGTCGACTGCTCAGCCTCAGTTAGCTTTTTTACTTTTTTTAGTCGTTTTACTTCAGCTTCATGATGCCAATTATCAATATCATCTTTCTCTTTAACTAGCTCTTCAGAACATACTTGGTGTTCAAACCGCAACATATAATAATAATTGTGTATTATATTTATTTGCCTTTGCCAGCTTTTTCTCTCTGTTATAAGCTCCTGTTTTTCTTCTAACTGCAGTCCTTGTATAAACATTTCTTTTAGTTTTAGAATTGTTAATATAAATTTGGACATTATCTCGTCCTTTTCTGCTTCCTGGGACGTTTTATTGTCTTGCATCATGTTGCTGCTTTTTTATGCTCTACTGCTGCTACGATGCCTTTTGTTATTATTATTACGTCAATGTTTAGCCCTGACACTGCTTTTAATATTTTATAGTTCCTTGCCACTGGATGTACTGATTTATTATTGTAGTACACTGATATAGCATTTTTGCTATATCCGGCTCGAAGGACCAAATGTACTTTTATTTCAGTACACTGATATAGCACTTTTGCTATATCCGGCTCGAAGGACCAAATGTACTTTTATTTTAATGAAGTACACAGTTTGAGTATATTTTAGCTACTGATTTTATTTAAAATAATGTTGTGTTTTTATACAAAAATATTTTAAGACTAATTTTTACATCAAGGTTAAATTATTATGATTTTAGTGGACTGTATTACATTTGTCAAAAAAGGTTAAAAAAGGACGGAAGTCCCAACACTTGGGATTTTCCTCCTATTGTTTTTATGAATATATTTTATTTTAATAATTTAAATACGGTTGCTAAAAAATGTTACTATTTATCTATATTTTTCCTTAGTACATAATTCTAAGAATTTAGGTGATAATATAAACTATAATAATTAAATATATGGTATAAATTCATGTTCATGATTGAACATTCTGCCGGAGGTCAAAACTCATGTTCGTGATTGAACATTCTGCCGGGGGCCATAATAAAATTTTAATCATAATTATTTAATATGATTATGTTGTAGTAGTTGTATCGCCTCCTTCATGTCTGACGCCGTCATCATATATATATGAGGAATTTTTCCTTCCATTTTTCCCAAAGCTTCCAATACTTATGCTTGAGAATTACTTCGAACTGCCACTGAACTGGAACTGCATACAATTTTGTAAAGATATTATTTAATGTTTGTGCCGTACAAAATCCTCCGTAGTGAGGAGTTCCGGGGCCAAAAAACAGATATAAAACATAATTTGTGTTGAACAAAATTTTTAGATTCATTATTTGTAAATTTGTTTTTGAAATTATTAAATTATTATTTAATTCAAATTTGCCTTCATGGTTATTGGTATCCACTGATATACCTAGAAGTTCATTTTCTTCGGATTCTTTTTCGTTGTAATTTTTATTATTAATATTCTCATTGAATATTTCTCCAGGTGCTTCAGCTTCGATTTTAACGCTTTTACTGAGTGTGTCTTCAGGATCTTCAATTTTGAGTTGCGTTTTCAAACCATAGACTTGTTCTTCCAGCAATAGCTTATCACCTATCAGTTCATGCAAACTTTTGTTTTTGCCACGCAAGAACTCTACTTCTTTTTCAATATCAGGAAAGCTTGATAGGCGCGCATGGTTATTCTTCGTTATATCTTTCCAATCCTCATATGAAGCGATTTGACTTTCCAAATCTTTTATTTTTGTATTAGCAAAATCAAGTTCATTTAAATCTTTCTCATTTTGCAATTTCAAATTATCAAATAAACTTGATTTTGCTAATACAAAAATAAAAGATTTGGAAAGTCAAATCGCTTCATATGAGGATTGGAAAGATATAACGAAGAATAACCATGCGCGCCTATCAAGCTTTCCTGATATTGAAAAAGAAGTAGAGTTCTTGCGTGGCAAAAACAAAAGTTTGCATGAACTGATAGGTGATAAGCTATTGCTGGAAGAACAAGTCTATGGTTTGAAAACGCAACTCAAAATTGAAGATCCTGAAGACACACTCAGTAAAAGCGAAGCTGAAACACCTGAAGAAATATTCAATGAGAATATTAATAATAAAAATTACAACGAAAAAGAATCCGAAGAAAATGAACTTCTAGGTATATCAGTGGATACCAATAACCATGAAGGCAAATTTGAATTAAATAATAATTTAATAATTTCAAAAACAAATTTACAAATAATGAATCTAAAAATTTTGTTCAACACAAATTATGTTTTATATCTGTTTTTTGGCCCCGGAACTCCTCACTACGGAGGATTTTGTACGGCACAAACATTAAATAATATCTTTACAAAATTGTATGCAGTTCCAGTTCAGTGGCAGTTCGAAGTAATTCTCAAGCATAAGTATTGGAAGCTTTGGGAAAAATGGAAGGAAAAATTCCTCATATATATATGATGACGGCGTCAGACATGAAGGAGGCGATACAACTACTACAACATAATCATATTAAATAATTATGATTAAAATTTTATTATGGCCCCCGGCAGAATGTTCAATCACGAACATGAGTTTTGACCTCCGGCAGAATGTTCAATCATGAACATGAATTTATACCATATATTTAATTATTATAGTTTATATTATCACCTAAATTCTTAGAATTATGTACTAAGGAAAAATATAGATAAATAGTAACATTTTTTAGCAACCGTATTTAAATTATTAAAATAAAATATATTCATAAAAACAATAGGAGGAAAATCCCAAGTGTTGGGACTTCCGTCCTTTTTTAACCTTTTTTGACAAATGTAATACAGTCCACTAAAATCATAATAATTTAACCTTGATGTAAAAATTAGTCTTAAAATATTTTTGTATAAAAACACAACATTATTTTAAATAAAATCAGTAGCTAAAATATACTCAAACTGTGTACTTCATTAAAATAAAAGTACATTTGGTCCTTCGAGCCGGATATAGCAAAAGTGCTATATCAGTGTACTGAAATAAAAGTACATTTGGTCCTTCGAGCCGGATATAGCAAAAATGCTATATCAGTGTACTACAATAATAAATCAGTACATCCAGTGGCAAGGAACTATAAAATATTAAAAGCAGTATTAGGACTAAACAATTGCATAAAAAGCATCGTAGCAGCAGTAGACCATAAAAAGCAGCAACATGATGCAAGACAATAAAACGTCCCAGGAAGCAGAAAAGGACGAGATAATGTCCAAATTTATATTAACAATTCTAAAACTAAAAGAAATGTTTATACAAGGACTGCAGTTAGAAGAAAAACAGGAGCTTATAACAGAGAGAAAAAGCTGGCAAAGGCAAATAAATATAATACACAATTATTATTATATGTTGCGGTTTGAACACCAAGTATGTTCTGAAGAGCTAGTTAAAGAGAAAGATGATATTGATAATTGGCATCATGAAGCTGAAGTAAAACGACTAAAAAAAGTAAAAAAGCTAACTGAGGCTGAGCAGTCGACAGCACGTCCTTGGGAGACTAGACGTCTTAAAGGAGAGCTTATAGATTTGAAGGTGTCAGAATTAGAACAAGAAGTTGATTTTGGCAAATTCAAAAGTATAAGCTCTCCTTTAAGACGTCTAGTCTCCCAAGGACGTGCTGTCGACTGCTCAGCCTCAGTTAGCTTTTTTACTTTTTTTAGTCGTTTTACTTCAGCTTCATGATGCCAATTATCAATATCATCTTTCTCTTTAACTAGCTCTTCAGAACATACTTGGTGTTCAAACCGCAACATATAATAATAATTGTGTATTATATTTATTTGCCTTTGCCAGCTTTTTCTCTCTGTTATAAGCTCCTGTTTTTCTTCTAACTGCAGTCCTTGTATAAACATTTCTTTTAGTTTTAGAATTGTTAATATAAATTTGGACATTATCTCGTCCTTTTCTGCTTCCTGGGACGTTTTATTGTCTTGCATCATGTTGCTGCTTTTTTATGCTCTACTGCTGCTACGATGCCTTTTGTTATTATTATTACGTCAATGTTTAGCCCTGACACTGCTTTTAATATTTTATAGTTCCTTGCCACTGGATGTACTGATTTATTATTGTAGTACACTGATATAGCATTTTTGCTATATCCGGCTCGAAGGACCAAATGTACTTTTATTTCAGTACACTGATATAGCACTTTTGCTATATCCGGCTCGAAGGACCAAATGTACTTTTATTTTAATGAAGTACACAGTTTGAGTATATTTTAGCTACTGATTTTATTTAAAATAATGTTGTGTTTTTATACAAAAATATTTTAAGACTAATTTCTACATCAAGGTTAAATTATTATGATTTTAATGGACTGTATTACATTTGTCAAAAAAGGTTAAAAAAGGTTAAAAAAGGACGGAAGTCCCAACACTTGGGATTTTCCTCCTATTGTTTTTATGAATATATTTTATTTTAATAATTTAAATACGGTTGCTAAAAAATGTTACTATTTATCTATATTTTTCCTTAGTACATTATTCTAAGAATTTAGGTGATAATATAAACTATAGTAATTAAATATATGGTATAAATTCATGTTCATGATTGAACAATGAGGAATACCAAATACCAAAATCCATTAAAAAAAAGAATATTTAAAAAAGCATCGAAGGAATGAGAAACAAAAATATTATCATTAAATTAAGCAAAACCGCAAGTTTATTACCACATCAATTACAATTTTTTGCAAATAAATTTTGCGGTTTCTTTGGATTCGAAGCTCGCATGTTTGCGGCTCATTTTTTAATTTGTTTTATTGCTAATTTCTTGTTTTACAATTTTTATTATTGCATCTAGGATTCTCATTACCATCATCAATTGAATTGAGTTATTTGCATTTCAGTAATAAAAAGGAATCAAGTTTCCGCGAGTTTGTATTGTGAAGTTCGATTCTTGCAGTTTCCAATCTCAGATAAATACACTACAGATCTATGAATTTTGAGGTGTGTAATATCAATTACGCAAACGCAATGGTTTACCATGATAAGCAAGAAAAATCATTATCTATCTCTAACATTAGCACCAGTCTTTAATATCAGTCAAAATAAATACCTATCCACTAAATCATAAATATAGTAAGCTAACTAAAAACTTAAAGTCATACAAATCCAAACCGAGAATTGATTATAACCTATAGAGAGAGGTTTCAAACAGTACTGAATAGCAACAACAAAAAATTTTATTTATTTTTAATTAATTGAATTTTTGGCTGACAGCTGTTTCTGACACCTGATACAGCTGTTTCTAGTATTGCCAAATATCCAACAGAGAGTTTTCAAATAGTACTGAAATGCAACAACAAAAAATTTTATTTTCTTTTAATTAATTGTATTTTTAGCTGATAATAGAGCTATTTCCAGTATTGCCAAATATACATCATCAGTGGTATTTGGAATTATTTCTTATATTTAATTATTCATAAATAATCTTTTGCGACTGCAAGTACCAAAGGTTGACCTCATTACGAGTTGTTTTTGGGATCCACCACCATTCGAAACCTCTCTATTGAATACAATAGTTTCTATTAAGTAAAATACTCACTACCGTCATAACTGACATTAAAATCAGATTTAATATAAAAATATTATATTAATACTAAGTCAAAATAGATTGAAATATCGGGATTGTACGCCAAGGATACCACGGATTAGCGTTATTTATACATAAACCCTAAAAAGACAGCTTTAACAATCGTTCACACAATTCTGGAAGCCAAGACTTCTCCAATTCAAAACGAAGTGAACTAACCTGATAAGTCTATAAACTTTGCTGCCACTAATTTTACGGCATGACAACTTTATCAAGTCGATACGAAAAATGCACCAAAAATATGCAAACTCCTATTGGCCAAAGATAAGTATTGTCCAAGAAAAAGAAACACGGATTCCTCTACTTCTTTAAACACAACCACAACTAAAGCCAAAACCGTACTGATACTTTAGTGCTGAGCAACACTACGATTTAACAAATTGACAGCATATAAGGCATATGGACTTTTATGGAAGATGGAAGACGATACATATAGTTTATATAAGGTATATTACTTTTATATAGATAGATGGTGACGATAGATAACTACGCCAGCGTATTTTTCAACAGATACGGTTCACTACGATCCTTAAATCTGGGCCCGTTCCAATATCACAGTTTTTATTTAGCTTCTATACTACAATATTGAAACGTTTTTATTAAAGCTAATATTCTCATACATCGGGAAACTGCTTTGTCGTTTTAATAACACAGGCAAACCACACCAGATGGCGCGTACATTGTTTTATTGGTTGTTGTCTTGTAAAACTTTAAATCTCTTCAACTTATTTGGGAAGCGAAACTATAGTAAGATATAGTCGAAAAAATCGCCCAGAGTAAGCGACATTACTTAAATCCATTCTCAAATCAGGGCACCTCAAAAAGAGGCCTCATGCCACAGCAACAAAAAAAATTTGTGCAAATTGTTGTGACAGCTGTTGTTACGACCAGTATTATCCTACCATTCCTTCTTCGCAAAAATGATGGAATAATAAAAATCCAACAGTTCTGCTTAAACCTAAACAATATTAAATCGATCTTGTATTCCTTTGCCTATTATTTTATTAACTTAATACCGTTAATACTAAAGGTATTAAGATTCCTTTAGTCTTAAAACTTAACCTTAGTCAAAGTTATTTTAATTTCTACTAAGTCCTTAGTTTTTAAAATAATTTATCTTCAGTATTTTATAGATTTATGAGAGTATATTAATTCCAATTTTATTCTTTAACCTTCAAAAGCTCTTCAATTTAGTTGAATTGTTAAAATAAACTATAGAACTATTAACTAATATTAAAGTATTCTGTTCATTTATCCTTCTATTCTTTATCCTATCCTAATGTTAGTTAGTTAAGCTGCTTTTAATAAGAATCATAGAAGTAGTTAACTTAGTTCACATGAAACTCTAACTCCAACTCCTAGACCACCTGCTTATATCTTCCGAACTGGAATAGTCAAAGACACATTTAAATTGTTGTTACTCCCGTTAGGAGTCTTGTATCCACAATTGATTGCATGGCACTTGCGGCATCGATGACAAATAAACCACTTTTTAAAATTTATTGCGGCTTTTGTTTGCGCAACGATAATAAAATTATCGAATTGAGGGCGAACGAAGTCGCAGCGGATATTGTATTCTACCTGTGGGAGTGGGATTGTCTGGCTCAGTCGGTGTGCAATAAATTTCAACCAAATGCATAAAGTGTAAAATATCACATAACTAAACAAATAAAAAAAATTAAAAATCCATTAGTAATGATATTATCAACAATCTATTAAATTAATAGACACGATTTTCTAAATACAACGCCAGCGACTTTAGATATTTCAACAAGTATAAGTAAATAAACGAATTTGTTTACATAATATTTAAGTACTCATATCAAACATAATAAAATAAATAGAAATAAACAAAATACATTTCAATTCATGACAATCTAACCATAAACACACTCACAGATTATTATATGTATGTATAAGATAAATAAAGCATAATCTTCCGATACTCTGCTAACTCCAGCTATATAGTCTAATACATAATATATACCATATTTTCAATAAATTTTTATTCACTCACACATTTAGTCCTCTATTAAAGTAACCCATCATTAAACACCAAGCATTGTTAACACCTCTTTAGCTTTATAAGGAATTATAGGTATACTATACTCTCGATAGACTTTCAACTCCGGCAATATAGTCTAAGACATAATGTATACCATACTTTCAATAAATTTTTATTCACTCACACATTTAGTCCTTTATTAAAGTCACCCATCATTAAACATCAAGCATTGTTAACACCTCTTCAGCTTTATAAGGAATTATAGGTATACTATACTCTCGATAGACTTTCAACCACTCAAGCACTTTCAGCACATAAAATAAGATTTTTAATGCTTGAAATGGGTTGGTCCACATTTTGATGTCACCCATCATTGACAACCAAGTACAGTTCTACAACTATCTTTAAAGATTTCCTGTTCACAAGATATCAACAAAGGTTCACCGCAAAGTATGAAACTATCCAGATTATTATTGTTATGTGGGGAATACTATGCACCTCGCTTACTGTGTTGTATTATGCCAACATATTTTTGCTTGCTCAGATTTCATTTTAATACATAAAGACGCCTAAAAGGTTTGGCTACTTACTACTTTAAATTTAATCGTTATTCTTTTATCTGATACTACAAAAATTTCTAAAGTTCCAGATGACGCATAAAGAGAAAGTCTGGAGAAAAAGAAACTAAACTTAAAATATACTATAGGCATCCATGATCACAACAGTGACCGTGTCTTTATCCTGAGTCTACTCACCATCAAATAAATAAAATTTTATGGGGAATACTATGCACCAGCATACTACTGTGCCACCTTTATTGGTTTTAAGCCATCCTACCCAGAGTACAACCATGTTACAATAATTTATTTTTTATTCAACAAAATTTCCCACACATAAGCAAATTTTGGGTATAGCGTTATAAATCAGAACGCCACGCTCGGTTCGAATTATATAATCCCAATTATATGTTCCCGAGAAACGATAAAAACTGTGATTAAAAATGAAGGATAATCTAAACTTAATTTGCAGCAATGCAATGTAGAAAATGCAACGAGCCAGATGTAAAGGAAATTTTAAAGCATATACTGTGTAACTACCCGGCTCTCTCGAAAACTCTACAAAAATACTTGAAGGTTATCAGTTTTATAGTACCGGATCACATACCTGAGGTTGTTATTAAATTCTTAATATAATTCTCTAATAACAAGCGTATCCTGAATGCATAAATTCGCTAGAAATAAGACTCTAAACTGGTATCGCAATGGACCTTAATGATCTACCCGAGTTTTTTTGGCCTAAAAGCATAACCAAAACTAACCTAATTAAAATACTAAATAAGTAGATCTAGTATATTTAAAAAATCTATTACCACAGAACGAATTGGATAAGAAAAATAATTACTAATGAGTTACTTTTATATTTATAATAGGTTGATGGTGTTTAGAATTATACATCCGAAAGTCTCACAACGTGCCATAATTCGAGCTCAAGGCAGCCACTCCAATCTAAGCTGTTTTATAAGCACCTTATATTTTTCATTTAATGTGTAAATATTTGAAATAAGATTTTGGATAAGTTTCGCATATCAGAAAAAAAGTAGAATAATATGCTTTAACAACTCAAACGTTACATACAATATACTCGTACCAGAATTTATTTAAAACTCATAAACCCTAAAATAAATGCCATGTATTTCTATATCATTTATATAAAAGTATACCCAAAACAAATGTGCCATTTAAAAACAATTTTTTACATTCACCATTTTCAAACATTTCTCCCAACACAATAAGCAGAACAATTGATCAGAATGAGTTTATAACAATGCCTAAGAACCTCCATTCTTTCCGGATTAAATCATGTATCCAACGAAATTTGCATGGGAAAATTCATCAGAAAAAGTATTTTTTATTTCGTACTCATAATAAAATTGAATCAATCAACCGAAAACCTATTTCAGTATTTATTTGATATCGCATTTGTGCAAAAATAAAATTCACTGACGAAAAAGGCCCTCCAAGGCATGGAATCCGTGATTCTAAAATTAAGGTTAAGTGTGAAATTACCACTTTGCATGCAAGTGGACCGGCTAGCAAATGTTTCACGCTTTTTTGAGGTTAGAAATAAAATTGTTACATGTAACATTTCTTACAGATATAATATTATTCACACATTTAAGTGGTTTAGTAGACAAATAACACATTTTCACATTCATGAAGTTTTATTTAGTAATTTTGTTTTCTAAAAATTTAGGATGTGCAAAAAATTATATCGACATACTTTTGACACTCCCAGCTCACACACTTAAACTTAGTAATGAAATATATCTATACAGGTATTTTAATAAAATAGAATTAATTCTAACTATAATTTATAATAGATTTTTATACACTACATCTAGAAACCATATAAAGGCAAATTTTCATTTAATTCTTACTCTGGAGCTGAATACTTTTGCACCATAGATCATCATTAAATCTGTTCGATATCTATCCTTTGTAGATATGTTAATAAAATTTTTTCTTGATACTATAAGGATTCGATTTTACTCCCAACAGAATTTTATCCGTCACAAAAGAATCGAATCAAGCCTACTAGTTAAGCTAACTTCAACTAAAACAAAAACATAATTATCTATTAAACTAGAAAGCTTTTTCCACCTGGGTTTGGTTTTAATGAAATTTTTAACTAAATTTATAACTATTTTACGATAAAAGATGCATCAGATACTTTCATAGGATACGAAGCATTGTTGCTTGATATTCACTTGTCACACTATATCAATACTTAGAAACATTCAATGTGAATTTTTTGCAGGATTATAGGTCTATGCTAAAGAAATACCACTATCTACACAATCTGATTAAATGGGACTTTCTCAATCTGAATAAATCTGAGCGTAGATTAGTTAATAGTTTCCTAACTCGACAAGCTTCTGTTAACTACCACCTTTCAATCATAGGATTAAAGGACGTGAATACCTGTACTTAAAGACAAAGCAAAATACTGTCAAGAAAGTGGTCCATAATTTCATCTGACATCCATTAACCCAAATGAAATCTGCAGTCTTGAATTAAAAAATATTGTTAGTATTATCGATAAAATTAATTTCTTTGATTTCAATTTAATTAGAAAATATTTCTATACAAATTGTCCTGTCTTATAGGTAGTTGTTACAGATCGGGGACTAACATTATGCTTTTAATATTAAAACACAATGTTATTATTTATTATTATATATATCATATTGTTAATTACTTTAAAAGAACTTTAATAAACAGCGTTTAAAATTACATATATGAGATTTAAATAATTAATAATAGAGAGGTTTTGAACAATACTGAATGGCAACAACAAAAATTTTTATATATATAAAAACAATTTATTAAAAATAAAAAATTTTGTTTTTGCAATTCATTTTTACGAAATTAAGAAAATTTGTCTGTCTGAACATAGTATTAAAATCAAAATTAATATTTTATAATAGATTTTTTGTCGATGGAAATTCTAGATGTCGTAAAATGAAATTTCGTAAAATGAAATAAAGTTAATTTCGAATATGAAATCATATGTTTTTTGTTTACAAATCGAATGTTTAAAATTAAATATAATGATTCCCGGATATAATGATGTCAGAACACCATTTGTGTCTGTGAAATTTTAAAGCAGATTATTATAACCAAAAAGAATGACATTCAGTAATTTTATTAGCTTTAATGTATTTTAGATATGTGAATTATTATTTTTCAAATTTAAAAATTTGCACTACTTTTAAAATATTTTTTTTGGTTTTATTAAAGTTAACTGTCACTGACATTTATTTAAAAAAAATGTAATTTTTCCATTATCTTAACTTCATCTTTTGCTTAAAATTTATCTTACGCAAAGTTGCTTCTGAAATGTCCCTTCATTTCAGCCTTTGTTTCAACTAAATTAATGCCATTGTCTTTAACCTTTTCCTCTCATTAACCTTAAAACTGAATTTTGAATGGAAAAAAACAACTTAATTTCGCTTAAACGAAGATGAAATTAAGATTTTTTTGAAATGAAGGTATGTCTGAAAATAGTATAACTTAATAAATCAACCCAGTGCAGAAGGAATCAATTTTTCCCGCAGGGCTATTCAATTTTGATCTCTGAATGTGAATTGGCATAAGAAGCTCCCATAAAATATTATTTATTAATATAGTAAACAGCAATTAGATAATACTATATAATAATGCTAATTATAAATTGAAGCAACATTAATAACTATATAAACTTATATGGCTTTTAAAAATAATGTATGTTAGGTTTTTATACTAACTTACCAAAAAAGTTCATATGTCCAAGATCCCACTGATCATTCTTTTTCGAGTGTAAAGTAAAATTACAATTATCACACTTCATTTTTATATACTTTTAATAAATAACTATAGGTTAATTATTGCACTAATTTGCAATAATTATAATCTAAATTTAGTAAGAAATTATATTTTCCCGCAAAGGACACCACGACTTTTCAGAATATGAACCGCGAAATAACTGCCAACTGCCAAAACAAAAGTCTCCTAACCGCAATTCTACACAAAAACAGCTGATGTTCTTAACTCGCAAACGAATTGATGACAAAATACTTTGTTTACAAATGTCCATCCATCTTTGTTTTATCAGCTTTTATGGAACCATTTAATAAAAATGGCAAACAACATAGATAAAGTGAAAATAATTGTTGTTGGCGATTCAGGTACAAAATAAAACTTTAACTTAATTTTGTAGCATTCATAACTTAATTAACTCACTTAAAAACACGTCATCGCATAGGTGTTGGAAAAACTTGCCTCACCCACTTAATTGCGCACAATGAACCTCTTATACGTCCTGGTTGGACTGTTGGTTGTAACATAGAAGTTAAGCTGCACGAATATAAAGAAGGCACACCACAACAACAAACTTATTTCATTGAACTTTTTGATATTGGTGGTTCCTTAAGTCATAAGAACACAAGAGGCGTTTTCTATACCCCAACACATGGCATTATACTCGTCCACGACTTAACTAATCGTAAAAGCCATGAAAATCTACGTGATTGGTTATATGAAATATTGAACAAAGAGGGTAAAGATACACATAAGCCAAGCAACATCATGAACACTTTACACGCAGATCAAAACGTTTTTGATCGTGAACAATTCTTGGGTGCAACGCAAATACCGATTTTAGTAATAGGCACTAAATTAGATTTAATTGATGATAAAAGACAACCAAAGCCTTTACAGAAAACGGGGGGCATAGGTAAAAGTAAATAATAATTTGTTACAAAAATATATTCCATCGATATAACGTAAGTTTATTGAAATTAATTTATATATTACAGCTGATCATTGTGGCGCTGAGGAAATTTGGTTGAATTGTCGTGATACAAGAAAATTAGCTGCCGGCACTACAGATGCTGTTAAGCTAGCTAGATTCTTTGATCGTGTCATTGAAAAGAAAACGCACACACGTGAACATGGATATTTAACTGACAGACGCAAATATGCAACAACCTCGTCATATATCGCACCAGAAACATCATTAATAGTCAATGCACCCAACTTTGACTTTAAAACCAATATAATTAAGCCAACCGATAATGTATTAATAGATAGTAGTAATTTACAATAAAAAAACCTTTGGATTTATTTATATCCGAATTTTATTCAACATCTGTATTTTTATGTAACATGTAACATTTTAGAAATGTTTAGAAATATGTAAGTTCATACAATTAGCCTGGTGGCCAACGCATTTGGCGACCACCAAGGAAATGTAAGTGTAAATGGTAAACAGATTGAGCACCATTTTTACCATCATTAATAACTACACGAAAGCCTTCATCTAAGCCGAGAGTTTTTGCCACATTACGACCAACCAACATTAAATGTCCAAGTAACTCAGAATCGCCTGCATCAGCTTTGGAAAGTTGAGTTATGGGCTTGCGTGGTATGACCAAAAAATGTGTTGGTGCTTGTGGATTAACATCATGAAAAGCAACACACTATTAAAATACAATTATGCAAATAAGTAATGTGAAAATAGTATTAATTATATTATTTCACTTACTTTATCATCCTCGTGAATAAATTTACAAGGAATTTCTCCACGCAGAATTTTACCGAATATGCTATCGGCTTCTGGCTGTGCAGCTTGAGCCTTCTCTACTTCACTTGACATTTTGGCGTTTAACGGAAATGCCCTGATGTTAATATCGAAATTTTATTTATTTTTTTAACAAAATTTATATTTTACTTACCAATTTGCACGAAAAATTAACCGGCTACGAGATATAAGTGAATTCATATGTCAGAACTGCTCTTCAGTAGAGTTAGTAGAGTTTTGTAGTTGTCAAAATATTTAAGGAAGAAAATTCAGAGTTGACAAGCTTAAGAAAAAAAAAAATTAAAATAATATTTTTAAAATTTCAATGTTTATGGAATAAAATTTTTACATACATAAAATTTATAAATGTAAAAATACTAAATAATTATTTTTTATTTAAAAAATTATAATTACAGAAAATTATCATACATGTTGAAAATTTTGAAACCAAAAATTCTCTATTAAATTAGTAATCACAACTACAACACCAATATTATTGAAGGTGTTTTATTTAAGCATTTATTTTACATATATACATTTATAAAAATAATATAATTTTACATATCATACCTACAAATAAACTTTGTCGCTTTGAAAAAGTCTCCAAATTAACTATTCACAATAATAACTCTTATTGTGACTGCTCAAATTACGTTTCTTCTCTTTGTGCAAATAGAGAAAGGAAAATATTTTTGTTTTGTGTTTTGTTGCGCACTTTTATTTCATTCGATTACAAAAATATACAAGTAGTGTATACATAAAAAAATAATAGTCATAATTATAAATATAATTTTATATAAAGTGTATTGTAATTATAAGTCTTAAAAGAAAATAAAGTAATGATGGATGACTGCGATTGGCAAAACAATTTTCACCAAATGAAAGACCGAGGTGCATATTTACTTAAATCTGAAAAATGGTCCGATTGTCGTTTTCTAGTGGGAACAGCACCAAACCAACGCATATTAGCTGGTCATAAACTTTTTCTAGCAACAGCATCGCCAGTATTTGAACGTATGTTCTACGGCAATTTACCAGACAAAACCGATCCAATTATAATACCAGACGTGCAACCAGACGCATTTCAAGGTTTACCTTAATATATTTTGATTATATTTGAATATTAACCAATTCATTATATTTTAGCTATGCTGGAATATATCTACTCGGATAATATAAATATTAGTACATTTGACAAAGCATGTGAACTTTGTTATGTAGCAAAGAAATACATGTTGCCGCATGTGGTGGAGCAGTGTACACACTTCTTATGGGCAGATTTGAGTCCTAAGAATGCTTGCAGAGCTTATGAATTTGGTAAATTATTTGATGAAGCACGCCTTATGCAAAGTAGTATGGATGTGAGTAGCAAATATTTTAGTTTTAATCTATAATAAAATAATATTTGCATGTGAATTTAGATAATATCTGCGCATACGCGTCAAGTATTGGAAGATTCTAGTTTCTTGGATATAGAAATATCAACACTAATGGCAATATTAGATCAAGATCATCTGAATATAGATTCTGAATTGGATTTATTTAATGGTCTTGTTAAATATGCGAGAGAGCGTGCATTATTTACAGAAAATGCAGAAGTTATAAAACCTTTAAAACACATGTCAGCAGATGGTAACGCTGATAGCATGCAACATCAAGGCGATTTACACATAGACGTGGGTAGTGTTGAGGAAATTAAAATGGAACCAGATGTGGCAGAAATGATGCAACATCATCAGGATGATGATATCAGTTATGATGCTGGTAATTCCACACCACATTTAGTTGATGATATAGTAGTAGTTGATAGTGATGCTTCCGGTGCAGATGCTGATGTTCAAGAAATACCATCCGGTATTGCTTCTGCATCAAGTATTAACAGCCTGATGGATGCACAAAGGTTAATGATTGATGAGGCAACATTAAGACAAGCAGTTAAAAAAATTAGATTTCTAACTTTAACACCACAACAATTTGCCGAAGGTCCTGCACGTTCGAAGCTATTGCAACAAAATGAAGCACTTGCCATATTGATTAAAATCTCCAGTCCAGCTATTAATGATCTACCCATGCCAGAAGGTTTCTGCAGTTCAATGCGTACCAGAAATTTATTTGAGCAAAGAAATCAACAAAACTTGTCAGCATATCGTAATTCAGTCAATTTTAGTAATACACCAGTAAATTATTCTGCAGATGCACAACCTGTGGCTAGTACTACTGCAACTGTTTTAACTATGCCTACCGTGCCGGTCAGCACACATGAAACAGATGCTGATGTCGCTACAAATGATACAAGAAGATGTTACTGTGTGCGTACTGCTAATCAACAGTTTGATTATCGTAATACTAGCGTCACGGACTGTGGACTTACCTTTTTAGTAGACACAAATATTTGGATAACAGGTATATATACATATTTTGAGTTAGTGATATCACTGATATATATTAATTTGATTTTTTTTGTGTCTTTAAATAGGTGTACAAGTACCCACACAAGTGCTTTGTGGTGAGCTTATGAATTCGGCTGGATTTTCTGATCGTTACACAGAAATACTTTACGCACACATACAGGATATGCAAGGTTCACGCTTAACTTACACGCATTGCACTTCTAGGGTACGTTATGATTCTTTGCTGGAAATATCATTTGATCGACCTGTGTACATTTATAAGCATCAGACATATAAAGTGTTTGTTGTCTTCAATAAGGTGGGCTGGTACCCCATGTATACATGTGTACCCGATGTGACTTGTAATCGTGTCAAGTTTATGTTTAATGTAGGCAATCCAAGCGAATCTGTAAGAGATGGCTTAATCCGTGCCATTGTATTTTCCTTGCCACAAGAATTTTCACGTAGTATAGCGGATTAAACGTAATAATTGTGTAAAATAATTGGAAGTATTTCGTAACTAAAACATTATTTTAGTATTTATGTATCTTTATTGTTAAGACTTTGTTTACAACTTCCATAATCAATATAATAAGGGTGTTCACGATCTTGTGTATGAAGCACGGCAAGCAAATACATATGAAGTACATGCATTTTGCTCTTATCACTTTATAGTGTTACCTTGTTACTTAATTAACGAGCTTATTACTCAAGATCGTGAACGCTCCTAATGTAACGAATCGAATCTTAAGTTTTTAACAGTATCGACAAAAATTTTTTACGCAGAAAGTGTTTATGTTAAAATGTACAATTAAATTTTTTGTTTTTTTTATATATCAACAAAATATTAGAAGCAATAACTAATATTCTATGATTTTGTGAAATTTTAATGGAAGAATTGCTACATTAAGTATGTAAAATTATTTGTAAAAATTTTTTTTTTTATTTTACTTTATTGTTCGTCGATACCTTCTATATGTAGTGCTTGTGTTTATTTCTTCCTATGCGTTATGTGTTTTCAAAAAGTATTTATTATAACAATAAAACTGTTATTTTTAACAATAAATAAAATTTATTTTATTGCAAATTTATTTATAAAAATTAAAAAAGTGTGGAGAATATATTTACAAACAAAAAGTGAAAAACAAAAGTAAAGTTCAAAGCGAATTAATTTTTATAGAAGAGAAAAATTGATTTAATTAATTTTATTTATTTGCCAAAACCACCACATTTGGATGTTGCATATTCTGGATCCTCACATGTTAAAGTATTCTCATCGAAAACCTTATCCTCTCCACATGAAATCAAACGTGGGTAACCTTCAACACATGTAATGAGACGATGACAATCACCTTGAACAGGAAAACGTGGAAATGGCCAAAAACGAGCAGCTGGTGAACCGGAATCGACTTTTGTGGGACATTTGAAACCAACAACAGCTGAAAGTATATGATGGACATAAATTTATATAAAGATATATATGTAAATGTATATAGATATATATGTATATGTATAAAGACATATAGACATATATGTACATGTATGTAGAAACATATGTATATAGACATATATGTATATATATATAGATACTTTTATGTGTCTAGTATCTACATAAAAATTCTGCACTGTCACCTGTCAAGGATTATTAGCTTTTCTAAACCCAAAACTCATCATCATTTAAAAAATATAATCCCTTTTGGACACTCTTTTTCAACGATGAAAAGTTAATACGGTGAATCTTCTTTCAGAGAGTTTTCACTTCATTTAATTTTAAAACTATAAAAACAAACCTTCTGGATTACAGCTATCCAACAATTGATCGGGCCAATTGCAACCATGTATGCGCTCATCATAAGCTAAACCAGCATCACAATCTGATTCATGTGGTTCACCATATTCGCATTTGATGTATGTTGTTGAACATTCTTTGGATACTGGATATATGCCAAATTGATATTCGCAACCAGGTGTAGAAATTGGTGTAGCTGCAAATTAAAGTTAACCTTTTTAGTTGCACTTGTTTTTTTTTTTTCTAAGCAAACTTACGATCCCATTGACGTCCTTTGCAGTCAACAGCCCAATTATAATTACAATGATTGTGTACTGCACCTTTACCATCGAAAAGTAAACCGTTTTCACATGTTTCTAGTGTTAGTGTACCATTTGTGCATAAGAAGAATTGATCGCACTGCTCAGTATGTGCATAAGCTTGAACACCAATTTTCTCTGGACATTCTGGATCACCAAGTGGAACGGAGTGAGCTAGAAAAACAGAAGTTTTAATATTAGAAATTAATATAAATTTGGAATGGAGTCTTCTTTGCAAATAGAAGACACCCACAGTTCCATTTAAATAAATTTGAACTAATTGGAATTTGAATAAAACTGTTTGAGAATAAAAGGAATTATTACAGCTTCTAAGTTGAGTTATTTTCTTTTCTTCCTAAAAGAGTGGATCGGGTCTTCAAGCACAAGTTTTTCAACTAAGGGACTAACGTTATTTATGGAGATTAGTTCAATATCTGATGTACGAAAGTATGTTAGTAAATACTGTCTGTCTTTTTTAAAAAAAAATTTTGACTAAGCTCCGAGAACCCCTGGGATCTCATTTCAGACATATTTTCACGATGTTTGTATTTTCTTCTAATCTCGATTTCCACAGTTTCACATCTTATCATACAAAGTATATCCATATATTTTTATCCTGAATGTTTAGGGTTTATATAAAAGTGATGTTTATTGCAACTTCGTCTAAATTTTTAAACCTTTTTTCTTCAAAACAATTCCTCAGTACAGCAAAAGGAACACAAATTAAGCTAGTTTCGCTAAGTAAGGTAGACGTAAGAATTAAAGCTGGTTACTTTATAGGTCACTACAAAATGAGATATCATTTAAATAAGATAAGTTTTTCAATTATTGATATTGATATAGATTTTCTGAAATATCGATGCACAGGGTATATTTTTTTGTGAAAGAGCAGGTCAGAAGCTTGGACAATTACCAACAGTGATGAGAAGGAGTTAGTAGCAAAATTCTTTGGAAGATCTATGGTCCCTTACGCGTTGGCGATGAATATCGAATTAGATGGAACAGTGAGCTGTATGTGCTATACCGCGACATTGACATACCACCAACTACATACTACCAACTGGCGTCAAAAAGCAACTAATCGGGCTGACTGGCGGAGCTTACTCGACGCGGCCAAGGACGACCCACGTCTGTAATGGCCAACTAACAACAAACGAAAGAGTAGGTCATATTGTCTCATATTGTTGTGACTTGTAAAGTAACCCACTTTAATTCTTAAGTAAGTTCCTTTTGCTGTACTGAGGAATTATTTTGCTTATGCTTTAACCTATACTTTTTAGGTAGTAGTGGATCATTGTCTAAGTTAGTTCTTGTCCAAAAGATATTATATATATGGCATAGGGACTATGTTGAACAAACATGGCAATTTTAGGTCATGATCCACTTTAGATTATGACGAAAAGGCATGTTATACGGCACAGAAAGCCTGCACATAATAACAAAATTTTTATCAGTATTTTTTTCTTTTTCTTCTCTTTAGATATTTAATTTACATTGAAAACATTAACAAATTTACATTTGAGTTGACCATGACTGTATGCATAACATAGCCCTTTGTTTGGAGTTTATGACAAATCCTTACTGTTATCCTTTAAGGCCGCAAGAGAAATGAAGACTTGTTACAACGCTCATATTGGAGGAATAGAGTTTGAAACGGCAAAGTTTAAGAGAGCTTATCTTCTCTCTCAAGCCTCGAATCGTTGAATCAAAAAATCAAGAGAATTGATATTTTTTTATAGAATGATTGACAAGCTTTATGTTCATCCTTCGTATGGTAGATATTTTTTATGATACATTCTTATATGAATACGTCGCAATTTTAAAAAATTACTTTAGTTGGAGATATTACTTAAACGCTAAATAGCAAATTTTCTTTCTTTAGAAATAGTGCTCATATTCCACAGAAATCCACTTAACTATATGATGAAAATCTATTGAAGTAATGATGATTCGTAAATAACAAATAAAGTTGAAATTTACTTAATGATCAATTAGTCGAACAATTTGTTTTGACGATTGTGATATTCGGTAATCCTATTTATTTCCTTTTCCTTCTTTAAAGTCTTCAAACTCTTCGTAGTCTCAAATTACAAGGTTTGATTTGGAAATGTTGTATGTTAACATAAACTTTCTTTTGTCAATGCTAAGGTTACAAGCGTTTAACGAACTTCCACGAACTTTGCTCCTACATACTCTTGCTTCAACATCTGCATGTATGTAGGGTAAAGAGACGTCTACAAGTCGGAAGTGTTAAATCAATTAAATCGTTAAACACTTATTCGCAACATCTTTAATACAGTGTGCAGTGAGGATCGCTTTTTCACGAAAGCATTTCTACATAAACTTGAAATGTTGATCTCTGAGCGGCTTTAACTGGTTTGCACAAGCTTAATAAAATCTTCTTCTTCTTCCCCATCTTCTTCAGGGTTTGTCAATACACAGTGGAATTATGTGAGTACCACCACGAAACTATGATGTAACCAATTGTGGAATGTTACACGGCATCGCCAGATGAAATTGTGTGAAACACTTAATTATGTAGTTTGTTTTCAAATGGAATTTGCAGCAGAGGAAGGAAATTAAGTAGTTTACTGTAAAGTAGTTAATTAAGCTACCAAAATGGGTAATTAATTTAGGTAATGCAAGTTTCATTACTGCTTTATTTTAATCAATAATTATGAACAATATATTTCTACATAATAGGATGGATATAAGAAATTTAAAAGATATTTAATTTTAATATTATTTGAAGAAAAAAAATTAATACGAATGTTTTTTTAAAAATTAATTTAATATTAACTTTAAACAGTTATAAAAGTTATAATTAATAATTAAAATAAAAAAGATAAAATTGCTTTTGGCAGAAAATTAAGCTTCGCTTTTTGAAGCAACAAGTTTAACTGGTCACTAAGTCATTTCTGGAATTAATTTGAGCTCTAACGGGTTTCTGAAGATTTAATTAAGTTTTTATTTTTATTGTTGCTGTTATTTAAAACTTAAACACGGAAAATCTTTAAAATATTTTCCTTAAAGGTCAGCATTAAAATGTTACTACATTTCCACTTCTGTGCCATTGAACCAGACATAATACCACGTGCACAAATTATTTTTTTATGGAAATAGTAAAGTCGTAAACTGAAAATGCCAGAAATACGTGTGTGTTCTCACAAAATATATACGAGTACAATAGTAAAGACATTGTACCACCAAATCATGGAGTGACTACCATGCATTCCCTTCCGAATACATTAAATTATTTTTAAGTATATTAAGTATTTAAGATATTTGTAATATTGTGTGATATAAAAAGTCTCCGTGGTTCCTTTTCTTCATAAAAAATCTATTTTAATCAATATTTTATTTTTAATCAAATTAATTTAATTTTAATTAATTAACTAATATTGATTAATTAACAATATTGTTTATGATCTCTTTTTTTTCTGTTACCTCCATAATTCCATTGATGTGGAACTTCTGTCGTTAGTCGACAAAAAACTTTGGCAATGGATTTTCAGCGGCTCTTCGGTAGGCCATTTTTTTGACACCTCTTCACCTCTTTCTGATTCTGTTTCTGTTGCATAGTTCCATTGGTTTGAGACTTCTGTGATTAATTGACGAAAAACTCTCTTTGTCTCTTCGGTCTCTTTAATCTTTTGTTCTTCATTAATTTAATTTAAATTTAATTTTAATTAATTAACTAAAATTGATTAATAAACAATATTGCTTATGACCTTTTACCCTGTTTCTCTTACCTCCATAATTCTATTAGTTTGGAAATTTAATGGTTAGTCGACAAAAAACTTTGGCAAGAGATTTTCAGCGGTTGTTCGGTAAGCCATTTTTCTGATACCTCTTCACCTTTTTCTGATTCTGTTTCTGTTACATAGTTCCATTGGTGTGCAATTTCTGTGGTTAATTGATGAAAAACTTTGGCGTCTCTTCGATCAGCTTATTTTTTATCATGTACTGAGCTTTGCAGACCCCAAAATAAATGGTAGTCAAACAAAGTTTCGAGTCATCTAAAATGTGTGTGGTCTGGCATTGTCGTGATGGAAGATAACTTATTTTCTATTTGCTAATTTTACCCTCTTTTCCTTGATTTCCTTTCCATGGGTGACAAATTCTTCAGACTGAAGCAGATTGCAATAGACAATTCCCTTCCAATCTTATCAAACACCCAATATAACCATGTATGCCATCAACCTTGGCTTTAAAGTCATTTGTGGTCACTGGGTTTTGACCGTGATCACTTGTTTTGGATATGTTCGTGCCTATCCAATATATTGTATAACTTGGTTAAGTGATTGTCAGCGACTTTTGCAAATGTCGAAACGAATGGTCGTCAGGCAATGAAAGGTCAGGGTTATACAGCAGATGTATTAAAATATTATTAAAGATATGTGTAGCCTGTCATTAGCATATTGGAACACAACTTCTTTTCTGTTGAGTAATTCCGCTCGCCTTTAGTTTTTGTTTTGTTCAAATGATATAGTTGTGAGCAGTAGAGTGCTAAATTAACCATTGCTACAGGCTGAAGCAGCTCGTAATAGAAAATTCGCATCCAATCTCACAATGACCTTGGCCATTAGGGTAGGCTTTAGAGCCATGAGTGTTTGAGAATGGTGTATAGCATATCTGTTGATAGCATTCTCATATTACATAGTCATAAAATTGTTATAAATGCAGAGACATAACAGGTGATATACGCTCCCTCTCTATCTCTTTTCGTAGTGGCAACTTCGACAAATATCTAGTGTAAAGGTTCAGTAGCAAACACATAGGGAGAGACGATTTGTGGCTCGATCACCCCTTACATATTTCGGAATCTTCAATACTACATATAATGCATTTTTTCATTTAAATGTTTGAATTTTAACTTTGAATTAGTTTTCCAAAACTTGTCCTTAAATGATTTTGGGTATACACCGTTGTCATTACTACACATTGCTTTTTTTCAATCTTAAATTGAATTCCAGAATGTATTTTTTTCGTTTATTAGATACCACAATGCTCTTGATTAAGTATCCACTATTTTTTTCCTTAAAAATACGCGTAATGCAGCACTAGTATTATAACCTGGGTAGTGGATCTAGATTATTCGGTTGAGATTCTGTTGTGCTAACTTATTGAGAAACTAATAGCAGTTAAGGACGTGGTTAAATAGGTATCTACTA